GAAGATACCAATGGATCTCAGCCAGCTCTATAGTGCCAAGAAGCCTGGGCACTTAGAGTTATCTGGGGACTTTTCCAGTGTCAGTGAGCAGGTTCTTTATCTCACAAGATGCCAAAAGTCTACGAGAAGTGTGGTGGATTAAATATGACTGCAAATTCTTTGTCACGTCCATGGAGAGGTGGAATTTATTTCTGCCCCCCTTGAATCTGGGCTGGCCCTGTGACTCTTTTAACCAACAGAATGTGATGGAAGTGATGCTGTACCAGTTCTGGGACTAAACCTTAAGAAAGCCTTAGAAGCTTCTGATTTTTGTACTTTTGGGAGCCCTGAGTCACTGTGTAAGTCGTCTGCTTACCCTATGAAGGTACCATAAGGTGAGAGCACATGGTAAACCCACGTGAAGAGCTGAGGCCCTGAGACTAGATGGAGAGAGAGAAGCCCAGCCATGCCAGAACGCAAAGCTAAGCTCAGCCTTTCAGCCATCCCTATCATGACATCAGAGTGGGCCATCTTGGATATTCCAGCCAAGTCAAGCCACAGACAACTGAAGACCCAGCAACATTATGTGGAACAGAAGAACTGCCCAGATAACCCTAGTCAACCAAGATAATAAGTTGTTTTATGCTACTGAGTTTAGATAGCTGAAACAGGGAGATAAGAACATCGAATGAGACCTCTCTGAAAGAAAGTATTAGAGGAGATTAGTGATTCTCAAAGTGGGTTCTATGAGATGCATATAGGCGTCCACAAAATAAGAGCATAGGCGTTCCATGTTCCAATAAGAATGAAAACTATCTTATGAGTCAAAATGAAATAGGTTTATTTACTGCAGAATTCCTCAGAGGCTTAGAGATGCACATTTAATAATAAACACTATTAAACTCCAGGAGGAGGATATAAAATTTGCCCGTGAATTTTTTTTTTAAGCTGTACTTATTCACATCCTGAGGAAGGATTCCCAGAAAACATGATGTCTAAGCTGTGTCCTGACCAAGAAATAGAGTCTTGGAGATGCTGGACGAGATGGTCTCTAAGCTTATTTCCAGCTCTAAAATGTCATTATCTAGAATCCATTATGATATGGTCTCTCTTAGCATTATTAGATCGCTAATACAAGAAGTGAGGCAAGCACATGGAGTTCCTGGTGGCTATCCAGACCTCTCTTCACTCAGTTCTACTCCTTATGGATAAAGGCTCTGCTTTGAGCCACCTAAATACTTTTGACCTCCAATCCTAATCAATGCCTTAAAATGAAAATATGGTCATTAAGGATGGAGGGAAAAAAAAAACCCAAATCATAATTCAGTGGGGTGAGACCGCAGCAAAAACTATACAAATTAAGCTTGTCTCATTTGTTATCATATTTCAAAATAATATCCTCTCTCCAATAACTCTGGTCCCTCAATTTGAAATTAGGCTCAATTGGCTTCTTTTCCTCGAACTAATAAAAATAAAAGTGAAGACAGCATCACAGTATCCATACCCATCTACCTGTTAGGATATTATCTTAATTGCCCTGCTTGACATCTCAGCACCAAACTTCTTGAATTGGTTGTCCACAGTTTGCATTTCTCCCATCTCTTCCTATTTACTCTATGACCCACTGCAATTTGGCCCCCTTCTCTCACTCTCTCTCAATTGCTTTCAAAAATAGCAGGGCCGGCCCCGTGGCTTGGTGGTTAAGTGCGCGCGCTGCAATGCTGGTGGCCCGGGTTCGGATCCCGGGTGCTCATCGAGGCACCACTTCTCCGTCCATCCTGAGGCCGAGTCCCACATACAGCAACTAGAAGGATGTGCAGCTATGACATACAACTATCTGCTGGGGCTTTGGGGGGAAAAAATAAAATAAATAAAATCTTTAAAAAAAAAAAATAAAAAAATAAAAATAAAATAAAAAAAAAATAGCAGCTTTTCCCAAGCAATCTGTACTCCAGCTCACCTCCTGCCCATACCATAAGCCCAACACTCGAACTCCAGACTGATAATGGCAATGCCTATTTCTACCCGAATATCACACAGGTATAAAGAAACTTCTCCACCTCAACAACAACATCAAACCTGCTCAAGTATTTATTCATTGATTCAACTAATATTTGTTGAGCACCCACTCTGGGTCAAGACCTTTGCTAGGCATTAGATGGTAACAGTGATCAGGACTCCACCCTTGCAGGGCTTCTGGTCCAGTGGTGGAGATAAATAAATAACCAGACAATTATAGGAGAAAACGTGAGTTTCTACAGGAGCACCTGGGAGGGATATTTCATTCAACCTTGATAGTGGTGATGGGGGTTTGGAGGAGGGTGGGATAAAGGCCTCCCAGAGATAAAAATGACTAAGTCGAGTCTTTAAGGATAGAAAGGCAGGTAAAGGGGAAAAGAAGAGCAGTGAGCCAGAGGAAGTACCTTGTAGGGAGACTGAGAGGGAAGAGAATGAGTCACACGCTCAGGGAACAGGACATCGTTCTGCATGGCAGGATCAGTAAATGATGGTGGGCGATGAGCTGCAGATGAGCAGTACAGGTGAGGAAGAGCTCCTCTACAGAACTTGAGTTCATCAATCACTTGGGAATTGTGCAACAACTACATGTTTTGTTTCTGTGTTTTCCTTGTAGATGGAATGTTTTAAATACATATGCCATCTTTCTAATAAAGTTAAACATACTTCTACCCTTATGGCCCAGCAATTCCATTCTCAGGTAATTACCCAAGAGAAAGGAAAACATATGTCCACACAAAGACCCGTACAAGAAAGTTCCAAGCAGCCTTATTCATAAGAGCCACAACTGGAAAGAACCCAAATGTCTGTCAATGGAAGAATGAATAAACAAATTGTGGTATATTTATACAATGGAATAACACTAATAAAACAGAGCAAACTACTGAGACACGCAATAACATGGTTGATCCTCAAAACCATTATGCTGAGCAAAATAAGACAGACACAGAGCACATACTGTAGGATTCCATTTATATGAAGTTCAAGAACAGGCAAATGTATTATGGTGATAGAAATCAGAGAACGGTTGCTCTGGGTGTCGGGGTGGGTGGAGAAGGGAGTATTGATAGGAAACGGACAGAAGGACTTCCGGGGGTGATGGAAATGTTCTCTCTCTTGTTTTAGGTGTGGTTACATGGGTTTATTCAAAATTCATCGAGTTAAACATTATGATCTGCTCATTTTATTTAATGGTAATTATGTTTTAATTTTTAAAAAATGCCTACAAGAGGCCAGTCCCATGGCCTAGTGGTTAAGTTTGGTGTGCTCTGCTTTGGCAGCCCGACTGGTTCCTGGGCACGCACCTACACCACTCATCCGTAGCCATATTGTGGCCGTGACCCACGTACAAAATAGAGGGAGACTGGCACAGATGTTAGCTCAGGGTGAATCTTCCTCAAGCAAAAAGAGGAAGATTGGCAACAGATGTTAGCTCAGAGCAAAGCTTCCTCAGCAAAAAAAAAAAAAAAAAGGAAAAAGAAAAAAAATGCCAACAAGAATATTTCTTGGCACATATGAAGAGTACTTCTTTTATCACCTATGAATTAATTTATTAAAGCACTGAGAAGAAATTCAGATGAAAAGTAATGTACTAAGAAAGAAAATTGAATGATAAAGTCAATAGAAATTATTTTGACATCAAGAAGTAAATTGTAACAAAAACATTTTTCAGATAATACAAAGAGTGATAATTCATTAAGAGGAAGAGATAAGTTTTGAATTAAAGTACTGATAAGGCTCTTTATTTTCTATAATCTAATCAATGAAGAGCAGTGAATCGTGTGAACTTATTGGAAAAATATCTAAATTTCTTTCAAATTAGCTATATGATACTGACATTGAAAGAGATTAAAATCAAATTCACAATATACTATTACAAGGACACCCAAGACAAGCTGATTTATAAGTAGCATCGATTGAAAGAGTATTTAAAATTATTCACACACAAGAAAATTTGCAATGTCCTGAAATCTTACAGTTGTTATAGCTCATATATGAAAGAAACTTGATTGAGGAATTTTCTGTACCTGACAACAATCCTGAAAATTTACTTATAATTATGAATAAGTTGTGAACCAGAAAGAAAAATTTCAATCAACTGTAAGTTGGTTCACTCACCAGAGGAAAGAGTGAATTATCATTCTATTCTCTCTACAAGAGATGATATAACAAAATTCTCATCATGGGGTCAACAATATGCAACCAAAATGTGGGACAAATAGAATTATAGATGTGAATCAGCAGTTAAAAAAAATGTTTTTTCCCTAGATTTCATGATATTTCTGGAATTTGTCAGAATTTTAAAACGCTCATTTGTTATGATTTCTTTCTGCAATAAATATTCACTTTCATTTGTAATTTTGTATCCTTTTTCTTAAAATGCACCTCCAAAATTATATTCGTGTCAGGCCCCGCCACACTTGGACTCGTCTCTGCCTGTTTTTAGATTGTGGCTTCCTCAGGGGCAGAGGCTGTGACCTTTTACTCTTTGTATTCCCGGCGTAGTGCCTGACAAAAAGTAGGAACTTAACAAATACGTGTGCAATTAAATGGAATGGGGGCAAACAGTCTGATAGTTCAGAGCAAACTGTTGGCCATGGAGAGAGCAGTAGAGATGCATCAAATCATGGCCTAAATTCTCTCCAGGGAACAAATACCCTTTTGCCTCTGGGGATACTGGTCTGGCAGACCCTAATTTTTTTTTTTTTTTTTTTTGTGAGGAAGATCAGCCCTGAGCTAACATCCATGCCAATCCTCCTCTTTTTGCTGAGGAAGACCGGCCCTAAGCTAACATCTATTGCCAATCCTCCTCCTTTTTTTCTTTTTCTCCCCAAAGCCCCAGTAGATAGTTGTATGTCATAGTTGCACATCCTTCTAGTTGCTGTATGTGGGACGCCGCCTCAGCATGGCCGGACAAGCGGTGCGTCGCTGCGCGCCCAGGATCCGAACCTGGGCAGCCAGTAGTGGAGCGCTTAGCCATGGGGCTGGCCCCTGGCAGACCCTAATTTTTAATAAGGTTTATCCAATCCAGCCCTTCTGTACCTTCAACACCCCTGTATACAATTACTACTCAGTCAAAATTAAAAATTGAATATAGGATTCTGGACAATGCCTTCTCTATAACTTTCTTGCAAGGACATAAATTCAGGACCTTTCTGATTTCATAATATTTGGGGGAAATATTACAAATGGGGTAAGTAAGGTTGGAGCCTTTGCTGTAAATTCAAGTACATCCTGAATAATTTAGTCACTTACCTTTGCATTGCAAATACCAATGAAAATAGTTTTATAACACAATAAAAATGATAAGACATGGTAAGTCTCAGCTTGCTAGGTGAACTGAAGTTTATTTGTTACTTTTCACAATCAGAAATAGAAATGGTAGAATTACCAGACGATAGGGTTGCTTAAGAAGCTGTCTAGTCAGGCAGCACCACCATTATCCCATCCCAACAGATGTGATCCTATTTTTAAAGACTTCTGGGAAAGGGAGATTCCCTTACCTCCCTTAGCAACCGGTTCCAATGTTTAACAACACTTGCTCCCAGGGATGCTGGCTCTCCCGGCCTGGCTAGAGTATTTTCACGTTTCTATGTGTTGGTATTTTTCTTTGTCCCCATTTCTTCTTTTAGGATTTATTTTATCCCCTCATTCCTTTGACTTTTTCCATTAATTTTGCTCGTAGACATCTTCTTTTCAAAATAAAAATGGAATTTAAAGTTACCAAAAATCTAAAATAAAAGCAAGACAGAATATTATTTTAGATGTCACACACACTTGGGATGGAAATGAGTTTTAGTTAAACTTTTATACAAATGGTACCCAGACATTTGATATTCTGTTCTTATCTGTGTTGATCAGACATACATTTGTGAACTTGAGTGAGTTGAGGACATATATCATTTCATTAAAACACATTACATCCTGGTAGCTTTAAACATTTAAAAATATTTATAATTTTGTTTTAGTCTTTAGTCTCTTATGAATGCTCTCCAAATTTCCGTAGTTTTCCTTAAGTTGATGAGTTCTGAACCAGATATGAAAAGAGTTCTGAGTGGTGCTGAATATCTTGGGCAGAACACCTTTCATTTCTGCCTGAAGTCTGAATCCATCTATACACCTATGTGGCTGACCGATAATACTTAAACACCCAGCCGGCCAAGTTTCATAGGAGAGGTGTGATTTGCCAGGTGCCAGGAGAAGGGTGTTGTTTTGAAATAGTTCTCATGATCAAGTACCTAACTACTTGAAATTCCACTGTTAGTGATTCATTTAATTGGACATGTTTCTTTGTGGGCTCTTTTAAAATGCAACAACTCTCTAGAATTATAAGACTTTAATCAATTTACTCCAAGAAATCAGCAACTGGTCAGAAGCACTAGGTGTCTGGTGGATGGCTGGGAATGGAGAGATGTAGAGAGAGATTGACCAAAAGTCCTAGTTGACCCTGGACTATGTTGGTTCATGCAAATTGCTCAGAAATACTTATTTATAGCTTCTCCTTTGACTCTCAAATGTGTGGTCACCTTAGTAGAGTCAACCAAAGAGGGAAATGGTTAGCAAGCACAGTTGTGAGGAGTCTGGGCATAGCTTTAGAGCCCTTAGACTTGGGCTGGAACCTCTGCTCGTTCACCTGCTGGCTGGATGATCACGGGTAGTTCTTATCTAACTGCTCTGACTCTCTGCCTACCCATTGACGAACACAGATCAATATTAACTATCATTTAGTAATAATGTAGCCATTATTACTGGAAACTTCTGTTTTGCCCAGGCTTGGCATTTCTAAGCTATTCAAATCTACCAAGACACAGAAACTTTTCTACTCTTTATCTTATTATTCGCATTCATTTCTAATTGTCCTCTCAAATTTCACCCTTTTAAATTTTCTATTACACAAACCAAGAAAACTGATTGCACTTATATTCTGTGTTTAGCACTTACTTTCATCTTCATGTATATTATTGGTATGGTTCTGTGTGTGTTAACTCTGTCCTTCCAACCTTATTGTAAGTTTCTTGAAAGCAGTAAGACTTATCTCTCCTTTTCCCAGAACCTAGAACAATATGAAGAACAATCAAAAACTGTCAGATCCATGCGGCTTCACTGAGTTAAAACTCCAGGCTGTATATCTCCCTCAGCTTCATTCTCAAATTCTTTTACCTGAGGATGAAAGGTGCTAAAATTATTGCCATTTTGTAAAAGGTGTCAAATAGCTTAGAGGAGATCTAAACATTCTTTAAAAGTGTAGGAATTGCATCCTTCAGGATTGAGATCCAAAATAAAAACAGCTTTGATAGTAACAATTTCTTTGCAACACAAATGAAGAAAATGTGTCTGCCTTGAACGAAAGGAAACTTCTACAGAGCTCGAGCTGCATCTCCATGGTTCACTGGGTCCTTAGCCTTCTCACTGGGCCTGCCAATCAAGACTCTTAGGAGAGTGCTTTTTTGGCAGACAAGCCCTGGCTACTTGAAATGAGGCAGACACCTCCAGATTTCGGAGGCCAGACACCAGATGGTAATAATACATTTCAACTATTAGAAGTTTGGATCAGAAAGCTAAAGGTGAAGGTCTTATCTCATTTGTCAAATGATGTAATTCATTATTAAATCAGGACAAACCAGTTAACATCTGAAGTATAATTCTGGTTGCTATTTATAACGCACGCATCGGTTCTTTTGGTTTGACTGGCATTTTTAATCGTGTGTGGCATTTCACAAAAAACTTAGGGGGAACTAGGAAATGACCTGTGCAAATCACAGTTCTGGATAAATCAAAACTTTTCGTCGTGTGCCCATGAAACATTAGCATGTTTGAGTTACGGAATGAAATGATGGATTATTTAAATTAATCTGAAGCAGGAAACCACAGGAAACTCTGCAGGTAAATTTAGTGAGCTTGGACAACATGGGTGGGATTTTGGTGCTAGACTTTTTTAGAATGAAAGTGAACATCTATCCAGGCTCACAAAAAGAGAGGGTGGTCATAAATGAGTCAATTAATTTCTCAAAACATTGATACCAAAAGAAAAAACAAAGATGTCAGCAGACTGGGGTCTCTACCCTGGGAAATCTCCGTATATTTCTTACTGAGAAGTGAATGAGTTTAGTCTTGAGAAAGCTTAAAGATAAAATCTTGCTAATTCTGGTATTGACTCAGGAAAGAAGAGATAATATGATCAGCCTGATACCGAGTATTTTAGAGCTACCATACTATTCACCGATGGAGTCATCACCATCTTTCTTCATCAGCATCAGCATCATCATCATGGCTAATATGTATTCAGCACTTCCTTCGTGCCAAGCACTGTTCTAAGAATTTCTACCTGTCTTAATTCATCTTATCCTCTCAAAAATTTTATGAAGTAGGTGCTTTTATTATGCCCACTATACAGATGAAGAAACTGATGTCACATAAATAGTAAGAACTGTAGAATACTAGAGTTGGAAGGAGATTTAGGGCTTACCTTGTTCAACTCTCAGTTTATAAACGAAGATACTTAGGCCCAGAGATTAATGCCCTGCTCAGAGTCACATAAAAAGTTACTGGCTGAGCCGTGAATATCTAAATAAACAACCAACATATATTAAGTGCTTACTGTATGCCACTTAACCCTTACAATAACACCATGCAATAAATACTATTGTCCCAATTTTGCAGGAAAACAGGCTCTTAGATGTTAAGGTACTTGGGCAAATCACCCTCAGGTAAATGAGGATGTAGGGATTTGAACCCCAACCTATCACTAGAGGTCTTAATATCAGTAGACTGCCTCTCAGACAGGAGCACCTCTCCTCTCTGTGCTTTTCCTGCACCAAGTGGCCTCCTATTTATGCTATAAAGCTGCATTTTCATCTCTGGTCTTATTAGGTCTCACAAGGGAGGAAGCAGTTCATGGGCTCCTGGAATGACCAAGAAATAAGCCAAAATGAGTGGCAGTTCTTCTCTGAAGTTGTGAAGCACCAAAACCAGTAAGAGTCTTTCAGTTTGTTCTACATAAAATTAAATCTCAATGATAATGGAAAAACTAAACCATATATCTTTATGCTTTCTGAAACCCTGATATTTAAAATCAAGCAGATTTTCTTCATTTCTGCTTTCATTTAGGTTTTTTGGGTGCATTTTGCAAACACTGCCATTATATTTATATAAATGCAATAAACCTGGTGATGTAATCTCTTATTGTAAACTCAAAAAACTCTTGATTTTTTTTTCTTCCTCAAATTTTACCTTACCCATGAAATTTAATATTTCCCATCATGTATCTTTTACTGTTTTATTTTAAAAGTAATATCATGGTTTTATTTAATAAACAGTGAGTTTTAAAGTGACAATTGGCTATTTGTTTTTAGTATATTTTTAAGTTTATACATATTTGGGTCAATAAATATTACTAAGAACGCTTTTCAAAATAGAAATACATATGTTATTTACTAAAGAGAATATATATATATATATATATATAGCTGAGATTTTACATAATTACTAATTTTTTCTAGTTATATACACACAAAACTGTTGGTGCTCTAAGCTGCCCAGCCAAATATCACATTTTCAGTGTAAAGGGGAAAATTGAAAAATTAGATTTTTCAAGAGCAAAGTAAATTTGGGAGTTGGTTCATTAACATGGAGATGTGATTTGAACTTGTTAAGTATCTGCTAATAAGAGAAAGGTACCCTTTATAGAGATTCAGAAGGCTATTATTTTTACTCATCTACTCGGATAATACAATGCGTGTTCCAAGACAAGCTGGGGGTGGTAACCAAGGGCTTCATTTATCTGAAATTAGAAGTGCCCATAATGGGTTGGCAGGGCTGTGGGTAGCATTGTGTGTTTCCCCGTTCTCTCTAATTAGCCATAGAAAAATGTGAAGAATAGCACCCACATTATCCAAATTCTCTTTAGGATTTGCTACCTTAAAAACTATTTTCCTTTTCTTATGTTCAATATGTATAATTATGCTTTCAGAAAGCCCTCTGCTTTGGAATTCTTTCCTTGCAGACCTGCCACCCAGTTGCAAGTCAGGTTCAGCAGCCACTATTTATTCACTGAAGGTTCTTTCTGGGAAAAGTTTTTTAAATTAATTAATAGAATATATCAGATACATTTTTTTTATCTCCAATGTATATCCCCTTCTTTGCAAGTCACCTACCCCATAAAGGAATTTTCCTCTGGCTCCTGGTTGCTTCTCTTAAATCATCTCTTACGACTTTCTCCCCCGCTCCCACATCCCATGTCCTGCCACATTTGACCTTTCAGTTCCCCGTGGCTCCGAGCTTCTTCTTGTCTTAGGGATTTTACACTTCAAGTTCCTTCTTCCCGGGGCACTCTTTCCCTGCTCTTCATCAGTCAGTTCTCAGCCCAAATGTCAACTCTGCAGCTATACCCCACCCCCATCCAATATTGCTCTACCCTACCTATTTACTATCTATCAATCACCTTGTTTTATTCTTCATGCTATTTTCCATGATTTGGAATTGCCTTATTTGTTAATTTGTCTGTTATCAGTTCCTCAGCTAGAATGTGAGCCCCACAGAGCCAGGGGCCTCATCTGCTTTGTTTACCGCCATCTCTCTAGCTACCAAACAGTGTCCAGCACATGGGCACTCGATACTTTATTTTTGGAATAGATAGATAGATAGATAGATAGATAGATAGATAGATAGATAGGTAGATAGATGTCTTCACTCAAAAACTAATCCATGGAGACAAAAGTTAGAATACTGATTACTTCAGGGGTATATTAACTGGGAAGGGACACAAGGGAGCATTCTGGAGTGTTAAAAATATTCTCCATCTTAATCAAAGTAATGGTTACACAAACACACACATATATCTGCCAAATTTAATCTAGTTGTACACTTATGAAATTTTGTGTACCTAAATTTAAAAACGTACTAACTGTGTCAATCCATGAGATCTGGTCTACCTGCATGGCATTTGGTAAGGCTGGTACCACTGGTGGCTGGGTCAGGCATCCCTAAATGCCCAGCACAAAATGACTGTGGAAAAATAATTGCTGTATTAAAGGACAGATCTAAGATCAACAACAGAATAGGTTGCTTCTCAAAGCCGCACACTGTTCTTTTAACATGGACCTATTTTAACTATGACTTGACCCACGTCACTATAGAAGACGCTATTTAGCTACGGGAGTCTCATACTTTTCAGTGATTGTGCCATGACTTGTACACAGAGCCCAGGAAAAGAAAAGAAGGCAGGAGTAAAATGCTAAGTCTAAAACTCAGAGAATTTATTCACCACAATACACAGTTGGCACAGTCTGTGCTAGTTGAGGATTCCACAGTCTAGATCAGGAGAAATGATTGTAAAACAATGATAGATAAAATCAGAGGGCACTTAGGGCCGGCCCGTGGCTTAGCGGTTAAGTGCACACGCTCCACTACCGGCTGCCCGGGTTCGGATCCTGGGTGCGCACCGACGCACCACTTCTCCGGCCATGCTGAGGCCACGTCCTGCATACAGCAACTAGAAGGATGTGCAACTATGACATACAACTATCTACTGGGGCTTTGGGGAAAAAAAAAAAAGGAGGAGGATTGGCAATAGATGTTAGCTCAGAGCCGGTCTTCCTCAGCAAAAAGAGGAGGATTAGCATGGATGTCAGCTCAGGGCTGATCTTCCTCACAAAAATAAATAAACAAATAAATAAAACTGTTAAAAAAAATCAGAGGGCTCTAGGGAGTCATGGGAATATATCAGTTTTCTGGAACAGAAGGTTTTGACATATTCATCTATATACGCAAGAATGTCAATGGAAAATGACATGCTGACTAAATAGTTCCTTTATGAAAATCTTTTTTAAAAAGATATATTACAAGTAATTAACTTTCTAATACTGTTATACTCTATGAAAATCCATGAGGATGGTCTCATCTGTATAAGTGGACTTTTCAAATCATTGAATCTTAACCCTCTTGTACAAAATATTTTAAAAATGATTTTAATTTTCTCTTGTGAAAATCTTTCTGAACAGATCACAGGTTTCCTCCTCCTTTTGTAGAGAATGTATTGTTATGACACACTCTTCTCTCCATGGTTTGGGTCCATGATGCACATTGATGATTGCATGGCACCATCTCAGCGGTTCCTATGTTGTCGTCCCGCTAACAGCTAGGTGAACCCACCCAGGTGCACATCTACATAATTTTGGTATCTCCTTCCCTGCTGAGAGCACTCTTCTCTGGCTCTGAGATAACATCTTCTACCAGCACATCCTCTCTTTGATGTGATGCTTTTAACTTGCTACCTTCTTTTACATAAAATTTCTAGCTAAGGGCCTAAATCACTGTACAAGCTTTGTGACAACTATCTGACTGTTTCTTTCTTCCTCTAACTCAAGGTTCAAAGCTATATTAAAAAAAGGGTCAAATCTACCAAAGATCTGACCAACAGATAGATTGGGAGTGGGTCAAGTCACTATTCTTAGAAATCCTAAAAGTTTAAGGACTTAGACACCAATAAAAGATTTCACTGGCTAAATTCAACAAAAACACATTTTTCCCCCCAAAATGTTTAAAGGCTGATAATGAGAAACAACTCTTCTCATTTCTGAGCATATAGTGTATCAAATTTATATGGCATAGGTTTAATCAAAAATCTCTATCCCTTCATCCTTACCCATTATTTATCCACCTTTCCATATACATCAATTTCTTTAAAACTGAAAATTGATGTTTTGCCCTAACAAATTACTACGAGGGTTTGGAAGGAATCTCCTTGATAAGGTCTCTCCCCCATTTTTTTTTCTGTTCCCCTCTCTTCCTACTCCCCTTTTTTCTGACCCTGCTGGATTGTCAGGAGTTCAAATTTCAGAATCTACGGCTATAAGGGAACTCCTTTGTTGTTGGATGAGGAAGTGGGGGCCCAGAGAGGGGAGGCAAGTCTCCTGCCTGCCCAAGGTCAGAGCCGGGACCTGTACTCTGAGCTGAGAGAGCCCCCATCTCGCTCCTGCCTAAGAAGCCTAGGGCATCATGGTGCCCTCTCCAGAGGCCCTGAGCGAGGCATCCTGGGCAGGTGCCAAAGATGTTGCTTCTGCTTTGCCTCTCTCTTACTTCATCTTTCCACACCCTTTCCCTTCAGTCTGTGTCTTATCCCTAGACCTCTAGTGTACCCCACAGCAGTCCTGCCCAAGCTTTGGACCTCTCTGTCTTGCCCCCCTCCGATCCTCTCCATATCATCCCCATTCTATGCTTTGTCAAGATAAATCAGTTTGAGTCCTAAGCTGGCTGTCACTCTGGAAAGGCAATCTAATAAATTAATCTCTCATAAGAGGTTAATGACTTATTAAGATATTAAGAGCTCAATACCTATATTTGACTTGTAATGGAAGATTTCTAGATAGCAAAGCCTTACCCCCAAGCAGTGACTGTTAGGTGGAGAAATTTCAGCCGTAACCCATTTGGGAGTGAGGGGAGGGTGACTGAAGAGAGTAGGATGGGGGAGGGCTAACGTGATGCTCTTAATTGTTAAGGATGTATTGTGAGCCTACGTTTCCCTCTATCTAAGGGGGCACTCAGGCTTCAGTAATCCTGCACAGTCTTATTCCTACTACTGACTGTTTCCTAATTTGATTTTTGTTCTTTAGTTTTGAAGAAGGTTATCAGTGAGAAACAACTGAACTCGTCTTCCTTAGGGTAAAGACCTGACGGGGGTATCCCTTGAGTGCTCTCTAGAACGTAAGAAGTCAGTTTCACTAGCAGCTTGGATTGTTGAGATGTGCAGTGTCCCTCCACAGACTGTGGATATGGCTAGTCCTAAGCTAAACCAGAAAATCATCCAAGTCTGTCTGCATCCTGTTCATCCCCACCAGCTTACCTCTCCCTGACCCTTCTCTCCCCTGTGCAGTCTGAATTCTGTGCTCCACCATGCACCTGACCCTCTCCCACCCTTCCCATCCCCATCAGGTTCATTCACTGGGGGCTTTTCCATCCTAACATATTTGTGCACAGATGAAATCTGGTTAAAATAGAAGCCACAGATATCTCTGAGGAATAAAAAGGGCCAAGTTGTTGTAAGGGAATCACGTGAAACCTGAGGAACGTGATAAAGAGGGGAGAAGAGGGTTCTCGGGCAGCCAGCCCCAATTCAATCTTAGGGGCAAAGTGTAAAGCAATGGCACTCAAGCTTTAATAAGAATAGGAGTCACAGGTGGATCTTACTCACCATGGAGTTTCTCAGGCCCTAATGTTGAGGATTCTGATTTTATAAGTTTAGGGGCAGCCCAGACCTTTAAATAAGCATTTCAAGAGATGTTGCTACAGGGTTCACCCCATGGCTTAGTGGTTAAGTGCGCGTGCTCCGCTGCTGGCAGCCCGGGTTCGGATCCCGGGCGCGCACCGATGCACCGCTTCTCCGGCAATAGCTGAGGCTGCGTCCCATATACAGCAACTAGAAGGATGTGCAGCTATGACATACAACTATCTACTGGGGCTTTGGGGGGGGGAATAAATAAATAAACTTTAAAAAAGAAAAAAGAGAGATGTGGCTACAGGTGGTCTTTGGAATACACTTAGAGAAACTCTGGAGTATGAGGTGGCATGGGGTCCACTGGATGTCTGTGAGCTCTGCACATCCTGTGACAGCCAGGAGGATGAGCGCTTTATCCTTCAATCCTAGCAGATGTCACCTTGAGTCACAGTAAGTATGGCTCCAGCTGCTTGGTCTTTAATTACCACCCCCTCCCTCGACTCCCAACCAAAGGAGGTTACAGTAGGATAAAGAAACTGGTCTCCATTAGAGTGTTCGGCTTGTATACAATTAACAATTCAACAGACGGACAGATTTTCCCTCAAAATTCTTTTCTTCAACTAATTTTTGGAGACCTGAGTATTCTTCACTCTACACAAATCATGAGAGTGCTTAATTTTCTCCATATACCAATTAAAGCAGATGAGTAGAAGTGGGAGACCCATCAAAAAGGCAGTTCTAAACCATCACTCTCTACTAAGACCCGAGGCTATGTTCCATTTATTCATCAGATCCCCATAGCAGGTACCCCCTTCAATGTTTTATTTTTAGTAGTATAAATTTATCTGAGGGAATGGCATGCCAGTTAATCCATTTTGCACAGTTTTGCAGAACGATTTATTACAGTGATTTATACAGAATTTACAGCCATAAGGAATTAGGTATATCATCTTGACCAACTCCATCAAGCCATGCTGTGGTGGCGTCCCACATATAAAGTAGAGGAAGATGGGCACGGATGTTAGCCCAGGGCCAATCTTCCTCAGCAAAAAGAGGGGGCTTGGCAGCAGATGTTAGCTCAGGGCTGATCTTCCTCACAAAAATAAGAGAAACCAAGGCCAAAAACTTAAGGGATATAGTGCACCTGCCCCCCCCACCCCCGCTCCTTTTCTTTCCTTTGGGAACTGCTCTTTCCATGAGGACCACCCCCCACTCCAGGTGTAGGTATGACCATTGAGATCCCTCCACCACCCAAGCCAGGGATTGGTTCAGGGGCAAGGACATGACCAAGGCTGCCTGAGCTCCCTGGGAAGAAGGTCTTTTCCCACTGGGGTTGCTAAACTAGGAAAACCATAATCTAGGACTGCTGCCACCACCCTGCAGAACGTTTGTCTGAAGAGCAAAATGAAACAGAGATAAGAAGAGCTGAGAGGGAGAAAGACTGAACCAGGGTAACAGCATTTGAGCCCCAGGATCTCGCTGAGTTGGAATTTAGTCCTCGCCTTCTAGTTCTATAAGTCAATGAAGTCCCTCGTATTCTTAAGCTAATTTGAATTGAGGATTTAAACTTGCAATGGAGACTGTTGATGAGTAACATGGATATGCCTGATTCTAGAAGCTTGATGTACAATGTCCCCTGGTCCCTAGTTCTCCTGCCTGGGTATGTCAGCCCCGTGCTCTGCGGCAGGAGGTCTTGAGCTTTAGAATGCATAAGTGTCAACTGCATTATCTGTTAGAAATGCAGATTCCTGGGCCCACAGAGATTCAGATTCAGTGGGACTGGGTGGCAAAGGACATAAATCTTCCCCTTATCAAGCTTTTTCCTGAGTGAGAAAAGTTCTTACAGTGGCCTGGCCAGTTCGTAGGCTGTCACATTCTGTTCCAGACACTGTTTCCCCTGAGCTGTACAAACACGCCCGGCCTGCTCTGGTCTTGGAGCTTTACTTAGCTGTTCCCTCTACTTGAAAAGCTCCTCACTCCAGGTATCTCCACTGCTAAATCATTTCCTTCAAGCCTTGGCAGAAATGCCATTTCTCAACAAGTCCTCTTCTGACCTCTCTATTTAATACAGCAACATGACACCCCCACCCTGCCCATATCCTTATCCTATTTTATATCCCCCCCCAACTCTTTTTACCTCCCAAAGTTCTATGCCATTTATTTCTTATGTTTATTTCCCATCCTGCTCCTCCTCCCTCTCCCCTCCTCCCACGACACTGCAAGCTGGGGGAAGTGGGGCTCTTTAATTTGTTCACAGATGTGTCCTAAATCTCTTCAACACACAGTAGGCACTCAATAAATATTTTTTGACTGACAGTGCTTTCAGTTTGAAGTGATTTCTGACTGAAAAAATGCCATACTGCCGTGTGGACATTAATTATTTTACTTTCTTAAAACCTCATAATCCAGATTACCAGATTTCCCTGTCCTTGGAAATTGAGAAGTGATAAGAAAGCCAGGTAATGAAAAGAAAGTTCTCACCTGTTGCTGGTGCTCCATATGGGTGCCCAGGCTGAGTCAGCTATGCCCCACCCAGCCTCGCTTTCCTTAGAGCTTCTTAGGGCTGAGTGCACAGTTGACCAAAGCCGGTTTTGTTTTCGGAGGTTTCCTGGGGAGGAGTTTTTCTGTTACTATATTGCCCTTACATATAAGCAATTGGACAGATATTCACTAAATACAGATGGACTGTGCGGGATATAGACATAGAGATGTTATAAGGGAAATTCACTTGGAGGGCAGAGGCCTTGGGGGCCCTTCCAAGAAAGGCTCCAACACAGTGGGCTAGTGGGCCTGACCACTGGCAGAGACAGCCACAACAGGCAGAGTGCTTTCTATCCTGCTCTGAGTGGTTCCCAAGAAGGTAAGGCTCTGGAATGACAGACAGGCGTTGATCTGCTCTGGAGCCACACTGGCTCACACCCGGCGACTCCAGGCAACACCTCACAACGTTCGGGCCAGCGACAAGGATGCATTTACTTAAAGACAGTAGTTCTTCCCAGCAGAGGGGCTGTCACCTACTTTACACATATTCACAAATATTTTTACTTCTGCTTCAGCTCAGTTCAGGCAATCCTGTTTAGAGCTTGACGATTTTGGAAGAAAGCAATAAGAATCAAGTTTGAGGGCCGGCCCCGTGGCTTAGCGGTTAAGTGCGCGCGCTCCACTGCTGACGGCCCGGGTTCGGATCCCGGGTGCGCACCAACGCACCGCTTCTCCGGCCATGCTGAGGCCGCGTCCCACATACAGCAACTAGAAGGATGTGCAGCTATAACATACAACTATCTACTGGGGCTTTGGGGGGAAAAAAAAAAAAAAAAAAAAAAAAAGAATCAAGTTTGACTGAAGACTATCTTTAGGGGGCCTCCTTGGTGGTGGCCTCAGGTCATCAAAATTGATGCATGCTTGCTTTTTAAAGAAATTTTATGTTAACTGCCCAATTACCTGAATATCCTGATATTCACATTATACCACTTAATCTAGTCTTTTAAGGACACATTTAAGATTTCAACTGACATTCATTCTAGCCAAGCAGAAGGCTGCCTGCCACCTTCCTTGCACCCTTCCTGGGAGCCTGGGCAGCTGCTGTTGTGTGTGCTGAAGGGAAATTTGATTCTTAAAGAAACTGCTTAATCTTCTCTATTAAGCAATTAAATAAAATGGGCTGTGGGAGGATGTAGCAGGTGGGTTTGGAAGTGAACAAACATTTTGAAAATCACGTTTTGCGCTTTAAATGGATGTTTAAAAATGCAAGGGCATAACTTTAAGAGAAAATTAAGTCAAGAAAGGCTGAATATTAAACAACTTATACAAAGAAAGAAGCCGCTTAAGTGGAAGTAGGCCCGGAATTTAAACGAGAGCAACCTGAAAGGAGACAGCGAAACTTACTCCAAACCGTTCAGATTTTTATCCTTTGGTAAAAATATAGATCAAAAAATGTATCACCCCTTTGTTCTGCAGAGTCGCCCTTCACAGCAACATCGCCATTGCCCGGGACTTCAAGAAATCCACTGATTACAGGTCGAAATGAAAAACAAAACAAAACAAAAACGAAACCAGCAGTGCTCTCCTCGCGGTCATTAAAGGGGCTGCCCTCCCTTTTCATGTATTCTTTTTTAATGAGAAAGGAAGGGAATATCTGATCTGCCTTGACATTTGGTCCCTTTCCGGGAAATCTGAAATTTGAGACGCAAAACATCCCGCAGTTGTTGGTGAAATACTTGCCTTAAAAGCAGAACCACAGTTAATGTCTTTGGCCCGGAATTCCAGAGACTAATTTCCACCCCTCCCACGGAGTCACCTGCTCAGGGGGAACCCCGGCCAGAAATCCGGGTCGCGCCAGGTCAAATCTTGCGCGTCTCTTGTTTACTCCGCCCGGGGCAGGGCGGCGGCGCGGCCGAGGGTGGGGAGGCCGCTTGGGCCCGCGGCGCCCGGGGCGCTCAGCTCCG